TGATGTTAAATGGTACTTCTAATTGCTTCATCACTCTCAAAGACCACAAAGTAAATTTTTTAAATAACCCCACCGTTCGCTTGTTAAACCCAGCAAAAAACGAAGTAGGACGAATTTCCAAAACTATAATCTCAAAAATCAATGCTACATTGAGAAAAAAGCTCTGCTTAAACCAATGGCAAAGCTCGCAAGATGTTTATATTGGTTTCAAGGTATTAATGAAAAACACCTCTACACATTTTTAATTTTCGATATAACTGACTTTTACCCATTGAATAATGTAAAGCTACTTAGCGACGCAAAAGAGTTTGCTGGTCAGCACCTAGTTATAAATCAAGAAGATAGAAAACTTATTATGCACGCGAGAAAACCTTTAATCTTTACCAATGGCGATTCTTGGATTAAAAAAAACGGAGAATTATTTGATGTAACTATGGGTGCTTATGATGGTGCAGAAGTATGCGAATTAGTGGGAATTTTTATCTTGTACCAACTATCTCAATATTACAACGGGAAGGAATTAGGTTTATACCGGGATGACGGTCTAGCTATATTTAAAAATCGTAGTGGCCAACAAATGGAAAAAATAAAAAAATATTTTGTTAAAATTTTTAAAAGCAATGGTCATTTATACTACTGTGATCAAAAAGTAAGGTGAATTTTTTTATAAAATGAAAAATCTTTATTTATTCTTCCAAATCTGTTTCGTCCCCCTCAAAATAATCCCCCCCGGCCCCAATGCATTTTTGCCAACGTTTTTTCCAGTCTTCGAAGCATGCCGAAAAGTCTTCGGTAGGGATAGCCTTCAATGTGCGTGCCGATTCACGTTGGATCTCTTCAATGGACTCAAAACGATTTCCCCGGAGTGGTCTCTTGAGCTTTGGGAACAGCCAGAAGTCACACGGTGCTAAGTCGGGCGAATACGGTGGTTGTGGGTAACATGGGTAGAGTTTTTGGCGAAAAACTCACGAAGAACCAGTGCTGTGTGCGAAGGCGCATTATCGTGGTGCAAAATCCAAGAGTTATTGGCCCATAATTCCGGTCTCTTTTTGCGAATAGCTTCACGTAAACGTCGCATAACGCTTAAATAATATTCCTTGTTGACAGTTTGGCCAGTTGGAAGGAATTCGTAGTGCACGACACCACAATAATCAAAGAAAACAGTCAACATGACCTTGATTTTTGAGTGACTTTGACGTGGTTGCTTCGGTCTCGGCTCGCCTTTTTCACAGTATTCACTCGATTGGTCGGTTGTTTCAGGGTTGTATGCGTAGACCCAAGTCTCATCGCCAGTAATAATTTGTTTGTAGACGTCATGATAGTCAGAAAGCATTGCTTCACACGTTTTAACGCGACGCTCTTTTTCAAAGAAATTGAGAAATTTCGGCACCAAACGTGATTTGAGTCTTCTGAGGCCCAAATGATCTTTCAAAATCGCTTGCACTGACCCAAATGATATTCCAACCATGTCAACAAGGTCTCGAATGGTTAACCGACGATTTGCAAGCACCAATTCTTTGATTTTGTTGATGTGGCAATCATCAATCGAAGTCGATGGTCGTCCGGAGCGTTCCAAGTCATCAACACGTTCTCGGCCTTCTTTAAAGTCTTTGTACCACTTGTAAACATTTTTTTGAGACATAGTCTCTTCACCGAAGGCCTTTTGCAACATTTGATACGTTTCAGCAGCAGAAATATCATTCCGCAAACAAAATTTAATAGCACTTCTTTGCTCAACAAAATTAGACATCGTGAAAATCGCCGAATGCACTTTTGGTACTTCAAAAACAAGCGTAAACAAAAAAAAAATAATTATGAGTTTGACATGTAATTTGGCGCAAATGTTAATGACATTCCTACCAAACTTAAAAATAAAAAAGATTGGACGATTCGAATAAGACAGGAAGTTCAAATTAAAAATTCACCTTACTTTTTGATCACAGTAGTATATTAGCTGTAATGTTAAAATTGTCAATTACCTCGACTTAACACTAAATCTTAACAACAGTACTTTCTAACCTTACTCAAAGCCCGATAACACTCTTAATTATATTCACGCCGATTCTAACCACCCTTAGTGCGTATTAAAAAGTCTACCGCGAACAGTTGAACTAAGATTGTCTACTGCATCTTCAAACAAAAAAATTTTTTAAAAATCTGTTTCTCATTATCAGGATGCATTAATAAAATCAGGTTTCTCATCCAAGCTCAAATATCAGTCAGATATAGTTCCCACTAAAAACAAAAATCACAAACGAAGCATTATTTGGTATAATCCCCCGTATAGTAAAAATGTTGCAACAAAAATTGGTAATCTTTTTTCAAAAATAATTGATGCAAGCTTTCCTGTTGGTCAGTCTCTAAGTAAGAACATTGTGTATCAAGCTATTGTTTCATCCAATAAACCAGATTACACAGATAAAGTTTATATTGGTATTAGCGAGACCCCTTTCAAGTTAAGGTATGCAAACCATTTAAAGTCTTTTAATTTAATTAAGTACAGTAATGATACGGAGTTATCTAAAGAAATTCGGAAACTTAAAGAAGAAAACTTTTTGTTTGTTATTAAATGGAAATTTATCAAGCATATAATCCTTCGTCCAAAATTTGTAATCTTTGTCTTAATGAAAAGTATTTTATTTTAACGCATACAGGGGGAAACCTGTTGAACAAAAGGAACGAGTTGGTTTCAAATTGTAGGCATAAAAATAAATTCCTTCTTTCGTTTTATGATACAGGCGATTAGCTGATTTATATAAGATTTTTATTGACGTTTTCTTTTTTTGTCTCTATGGAGACGTCAGATGTCGCTTCACTGTATTTTGTAATTTTATTAACGATTTGTTTGTTTTTGATATAGTACATGGCTGATGATTGCCGTATAGGCATGAAACTATTAGTCCCATGAAAAAGTTGTTTTTTCTATATGTAAATAAAAATAAATAAATATATATATATATACAGGGCCGGCGCGAGTAGGTGTCACGTGGGGGGGTGCCATTACAACTTTTGCCGACTAAAAAGGAAAAAAAAAAAAAAAAGGTCCTCGTTTTCCAAAATTTGTCGACTGTCATTACAACATTTGTCGACTGTCTAACCTATATCGAAAGGGTCGACATTTGCCTGACAATGTGTACAAAAACACAAAAATACAAAAACATGTGTTCTGCAAAAATGGCGGGATTATTCTCGATGAGGGTCAATACGTAAAAACTAAGTTTTGGACGCCATTTTTTAAATTTCAGCAAAAAAGAAGCCATTCAACCGCTAACGTCAATAGCAACGTTTTAATTTAAATTATAACGGTTTACTAATTACTGTAACATTTAACAAGCTGAAGAAGCTGGTATCTAAAATCCAGCGAAAATTTCTATAATAATAAAAAAATTATAAGTGTTGAGAGAAATCGTATTTTTGATGTTTTAAAATAATATATAAATATACTCTCACACAAAATGTTATCCTTTAAATCATATATATATATATATATATATATATATATATATATATATATATATATATATATATATATATATATATATATATATATATATATATATATATATATATATATATATATATATATATATATATATATATATATATATATATAGTATAAATAATATATATATATATATATATATATATATATATATATATATATATATATATATATATATACATATATATATATATATATATATATATAAACTTCGTATTTATGGTCTGATAACAGTTTACAAACCTGAAAGGTTCTATCCTATGAGAACAGTTATATCAACGATCGCCACTCCTTTTGGTCGATATTTATGTTGGAGTATTTTACTATAGTTTAGTATTAATTTTCTTATATTTAAATATTGGCTGTATTTTTCAGGTTGTATTTTTTTTACTAAGTATACTTAGTAAAGAAAATAAAACCTGTCTTAAAAAAACAACTTTTTTGAAAAATTCTGTTGATTTTATTTTTGTAAAGCAAATTTATGGGAGATTGAAAAAGACTAGGTTTAAGTTTCATTTGATGTATTAAATCTGTACTCATCAAACCCACATAAGGAAGCTACTAAAATTCTTATAGATCAATTAAATAAAGATGATTCTTACAAATTAAATTCCACTAAAATATATTTAATAAATAATCTGCTTTAATTAAGGTAGACGAGACTTTTAAATAAGGTAGACGAGACTTTTAAACAAGGTTGACGAGACTTTTAAATAAGGTAGACGAGACTTTTAAATAAGGTAGACGAGACTTTTAAATAAGGTAGACGAGACTTTTAAACAAGGTTGACGAGACTTTTAAATAAGGTAGACGAGACTTTTAAATAAGGTAGACGAGACTTTTAAATAAGGTAGACGAGACTTTTAAATAAGGTAGACGAGACTTTTTAATAAGGTAGACGAGACTTTTCAATAAGGTAGACGAGACTTTTAAATAAGGTAGACGAGACTTTTAAATAAGGTAGACGAGACTTTTAAATAAGGTAGACGAGACTTTTAAATAAGGTAGACGAGACTTTTCAATAAGGTAGACGAGACTTTTAAATAAGGTAGACGAGACTTTTAAATTAGGTAGACGAGACTTTTAAATAAGGTAGACGAGACTTTTAAAGTTATCAATTTTTGAAAAAGAACCTAGATCGTAATAGTTTAAAAAAATTTTGTCAATAGAAATAAAATTAAAAACACACAAAAATGATTTTAAAATGTTTTAAGATTTTTCAAAAATTCTCTAAAGAATTGCTATTCTTAAAATATAAACAAAAAACGATCAAGCTTTATTAGTGCTTGTCAGAAAATTATTTATTTTTCAACGCTTTTTTTTATCACAACAGCGTTTGTCAGTAAATTATTTATTTTTCAACGTTTTTTTTAACAACACACGATCGTTATTTTTAATATTTGAATAAAAGAAGAGAAGGGGTTAATTGACAGGTCTCAGAAACGCGCTGTTATTTCTATTGTTTAAAGTGTCAATACAGTTCTAAAGATTTCATACCATTTCCATACTTTTTTGTAAAAATGGTTGTGTTAGAAAACTTTTCGTATTTGGACTACTTACGACATTAGCATGCTGTGCCAATGGGGTTGTACAAACGTAATTATATTACTTCATTTTAATATGAATGTAAAAAATTGATTAATGTGTATATATATATATATATATATATATATATATATATATATATATATATATATACATATATATATATGTTTTTTTTTTTTTTTAAATTAAATGTTTTCATGCTAAATAAAACAAAAATTTTATATAGACTAAAGGCTATAAACTAAGTTATATATATTTTTGCGCATTAAAAACGTTAGCTCTCTCAGGCTAATTTACATCTTTTTTGAAAGATTATGTGCAATACAATTAAAAATATTAACAATACTTATATAGGAAAAACAGACTCTGTTCACACACAATTGAAATTTTAAAAATGCCACTGATGTTACGTTGCTTCGGTGGTTATTTAATATAGTTTGAAAAATTATAAACAATTAAATTAAATTGTATAAATTGTTATATTTCTTGTAAATTAAAAACAAGTTTTTTAATAATTTTTTTTTGCCGGCAGAAAAATTCCAGCCGCAATAGCTACTAAAGGTCCGTGTGCTAAAGAACTTTTTATATTAGAGACAGAAAAAGAATTTCCAGACGAAAATTGCGAGGGTCTTCCAAAAAATTAAAAGGGTCTTGCAGAAAATTGCAAGAGTCTTGCAGAAGGAAAAGAAAAAGATGACCTAAAGAAATACAAGTTTAGATAAAATATTGAGAAAACGGAAAATCAAGAGGAATTTGAATCAACAGAAGTATAATCTGTTAAATTTTTTTTTTGTATAATGTATGTTTATGTGTTAACAAATTCTTGAGCATCTTTAATAACAGCAATGTTTCACTATCCCTCACTAAAAGAAAAAACGCTTTCAAATGAAAAACCAGTTCAAATTGAAATTGAAGAGTTTACTAAGGAATTAGACGTGTTCGATTTCCCTTTCCTTTCAAGATGGTGGAAATTTTTTAAATAACCTATGTTTTTATAATAAAAAATAAATTTCTTTATTTATGCAATAATTTTTGACATAAAAAAAGTCAATTTTAATGAGTTTCCAACTTTCAAAAAAGTGGAAATTAACGGCTGTTCCTAAAAACCGACACGGCCGAACCCGGCCCGGCCCAAAAACCTAAAACCTGTCAGGATAAAATTCCTATTTTTTAAAAGAAAGAAACAAACTAATATAATTGTTACACAAAGTTTACAAGTAATAAAATATTCATCGTTAGAAATTTTTTTTTTCAGGTTAATAAAAAAAGTTTTAATTAACATAAAATATTAGCATAGCATTTTTTTTGTTAAAATGCATTGGCTACATAAAAACGTCATATGAGAAGACTAACACTGTGCGCAGACATTATGACACCAACGATTGCACCTATCGCATTGTGAACATTTTAAAAGAGTACTACGGGGTTTAAAACAAAACGATTTGTCACATAAATATTTTTTATCAACGTTAGCACACATGCGTTGTACAAGTCTAGCACGAATGTATCGACGGTGTAATGCTGTAGCTGATTGATCTACAGTACTAATTTTCATATTGTTGGTAACAGCTTCTGCAAACATTAGTGTAAAAATTTCAAACTTATTTCCATCGAGGTACATTAAAAGAATTTTTTTACCATATTCCAAGTTCATTAGTAACAGATGTCCGTTATATCATATATCTCACCAACATATCAAGCTTCGAAGTATCATCTCCAGAGAATCCGCAATTCGAGCTTTTTTATCAAGAGTGTAGGCAGTTAAGTGTGTCCAGTGATTGTTGTTAACGTGAAGGAGCAAAAGAATCCAGTTGTACTTGCATAGACGGAATTTTTTATAAAGCCAACCATCATGTTTTTTTTCGTGCCATCGTAGAGCCTAAAAAGAAGGTAGGACATAAATTAGATCTCGTTTTTTAGCCTTGTTTAAGGCTAATCACAATCTCCAATTCGTGGTTGTTTTCTTCCTAGCCGTTGTTTGACAACGCACTTGTTTCAACGTAACCGCGTTAAGTTTATAGACTTCTTCTCAGAGGTTACTGGTGCATCAACAAGACGTTGCACAACTTTAATATGGTAATATATTTTTACTGGTTGACAGTAACATGTTTTAGTCTATTTAGTCGAACCAAAAGTACTTCGTTACTGGTTCCTTTTACCAAAAAAAAATTTCATAGATGCATTGAATTGAATTGACACTTTATTTTTAAGAACAGTCTGATCTCTTACATTTTCAGACACAGAACAAACTTTTTTTCTTAATTAACTCTATTGTTTATAAAATCCTTGTTCCGCCATTTCATTTCGGAAACAAGTTCTTCCGGTGATAGAACCTTTCAACAATATTATCAATATTATAATTAACACGCAAGAACAAGTTGAGAAAATTCGTCTTTTAGTTGATGATAATTTCCTTGATCACCAAATCCAAGATTGATGGAGTTGACAAAATAGCACTAAAGATGGTTAAGAATGAGTACGCTCATATCAATAGGAACCTACTGCACACGGCGCATGACAGTATTAAATCTTTCCGACATGTTTTGTGTTATACCCGAGTTACTATCATACACATTTAGCCGTTTCAATACAACGCGACCGATCTTAGTACCTACATTTTTATGGGTTGTACTGTTGTAATATATTTGAAATGGTTGACTCCAGAGCGTCACTTGAGAAATATATATTTTTTAAATAGACTGCATTTGTTGAACAAAGAATAAGTGTTTGAATATGATAAAGGTACACGGAAACGTCAGTGGAAGTAGCATTATGCTTTTTTACCCTTTGCTTGGTTGCGTACTCTAACATTTTGCACTTGCCTAATATTTCTAGGAATAGCATTGATATTTCCTGCACTTTTAACTGATTTTTTGTGCACGAGTAAGGGTTTATACTCTTTTAATTCATTAGCAAGATACCAAAGGCGTTGTCCACTCATATGATCTTATAGTAGGTGTTTTGTTACTATTGCAATGGAAATGATGAAGCAGTTGATTCATCGCCGACATACTGCACAACATTATACAGGTATTTAGACGAGTCGATTGCTATAAAAGAAAAACGACAAAAATTTAAGGATGATCCAGATGTATTATTTGATCTTGCACTTATGACAGGTTGTTTTCGAGAAAGTCGATCATTCTCATTATCGACCCATTGATAACCATCAGCCACCCAATCAGCTAAAAATTAAAAATAAATACGCTATATAAATTTAAAAAATCTCATTGGATCGTGATATTGAAAGTAACACAAAAAAAAATTTCATACTTCTGTATATACTTTATATGTATATACTGTATATACTTCTGTACATACTTTAAAAAAATATACAAAACTAGAAAAAGTCTAATAAATTGCGTACCTTTATTGGCGTTTCCTTGATATCAATATACAAAAGCGACTTCTCCTTTTGACTTTTAAGCAGTTCACTCTAACGGTTTGATGGTTTTCACTAACGTTTGCTAAACACTCAAGTACCTCGTTAATACTTAACATTTCTTTACGCACAAAATATAGTTTTGCGTGAACGGTAGGCTCCATTTGGTCTCTGTTACACTCTAGCAAATTTCCTTTATTATTGGTTTTAGTACTTCCTTGAAAATGCAGTTAAAAATGATTTTGTAAGTATTATATAAACCCACACACCTACGTATGGGTTTAGTAATTATCTTTTGCTTCTTTGTTGGATAATGCATTAAAAAACCTACAATTTTATAATACAGACACTCTAAAGATTTTTTTTACTAACTTCCTTCTTTTACATAATATGTAAAAGGAAGTAATTAGAAAAAAAAACTCTAAAACTTACAGATTTTTAAATATTATTTGAAAATTTGTAAATGTTTAACTAATAAAAAATATAAATTTTTTTTTTTTTTCATAAACAAATAAATTTAGTAAAATAAAGAAAGGTTGGCTTAAAGTTTGGGCCGGACCGGGTTTTAAGTTTTTTGATACAACCGAAGTTGATTGAATTTAATCTTTTTCCAATATCTGGAAAGTGGAAAGTATTTAAAAATCAATACTTAAATTTATACTCTTTAGCTAAATATATATACATTATATTTTTAAGTATATCTAATGTATACTTTTAACAATATTCCAAATTAGAACAAAAATAATAAATAAATATTATCTAGGAACTTCCAATTAATTCAATTATTTAACGTTTCTATACAAAATAGAAACACATAAGTAAAAAAAAATGTTCTTAAAACCATTGTCATCAATTAATTGTTCTCAAAACCGATGCTAATGCATTGGCTAAATGGTCGTTGTATTGGTGTACTCCTAGTACATTTTATGGAATGAGGCTTTATTAAATAGTGTGCATTACGTTTAATAAAGGTACATTTTGTGAACTTTAGATTGAAAAACTGCATAAACTAGTAAACTGGAAATTATTATGAGAAGACCACGAATATTTTAATAATATAAAGATAAAAAAGTTAATCAATTATTATTTGTTGTTTATACATTGACTAATATCTAAAAGCATAAAAGCATATATATATATATATATATATATATATATATATATATATATATATATATATATATATATATATATATATATATATATATATATATATATATATATATATATATATATATATATATATATATATATATATTATTTTTTTTATGTTAGTTTATAACCCATGACTTTTTTGAAATACTGTGATTTCCTTTGTATTGCACATCGATTAATTCACCTCACTGCTTGTTTTAAACATTGCTTATTGTTTTTTCCTTTGAAATAGTATAAGAAATAGTAATTTGAAATAGTATAAGAATATATATATATATATATATATATATATGAAGACCACACGGGTAAAACCACAGATGTCACATTTTTCTCATTTCGAGAAAAATGAAATTTAGTGTTTAGTGACTTTAGATATCTGTTTATTAATAATTTATTTAATTAAAAGTATATTTTTCTGACATTTTAGTCCTTATACAATATAAAAACGCAGTTTTTGTGCTAAATACAAGTATTATTTATTCACAATGTTCTTTTGAAAACAAGACACTCATTTTGGACATCTGTTGTTTTTCCGTTGTAAACTCATCAACTCGTAAATTACGTTAGATTGTAACCTTTTAGAGCACTTATTTTTTTTTAAGGTAGATGGTAACACATTGTAATTTACAACTACAACGTACTAAGTGTGTGATGGGATAATAAAGCCACCGCCCCCTCCCCCTCTTTAAATAAAAAAAAATCGATTCACGTTCACAGAAAAACATTTTAAAAAATCAAAATGTTTTTTTAAATGTTTTTCTGTTGTTTACTTCATCCGAAAAGTTAGTCATGTGACTTACGCTTTTATTATCATTGGTTTAGTTAAAAATAACTTGTTTTTTACGCGGTAAACATTGGACAACAGTGGTTGTTTCAAAGTTGCCCTTTTTTTTAAATGACCATAGAACCTTAAAACATAGTTTTTTTGTTATGAATTTTTAAATTAAAATAGGTTAATACTAAAATATCATAAAAATATATAAAACTTGAAATTTTCAAAAAGTGGACATCTGTGGTTTTACCCGTGTGGTCTTCATATATATATATATATATATATATATATATATATATATATATATATATATATATATATATATATATATATATATATATATATATATATATATATATATATATATATATATATATATATATATATATATATATATATATATGTATATATATATATATATATATATATATATATATATATATATATATATATATATATATATATATATATATATATATATATATATATATATATATATATATATATATATATATATATATATATATATACAGTGGCGTAGGAAGGTTTTTAAACGTTTGAAATAACTAACTTTTAAACAAATAGAATATTCCAAATTTGTTTACATTCATATGTATAACGAAAAGATTCTTAAATACTGTGATAGGAGATTGGGAATAAGAAACCTTAAGGTCTTAGTCCCCTCTGCCCCAAACGTGAGAGCAACAAGTTGATGAAATATTTTTTGTACCATTTTTAACTAAACTTACATTCATCGATAAATTTTAAATTTCATAAAAAAAATTTTATTGTTTAAAAATTATGACCATTTATAATTTGAAAAAAAAAGTTTTAATCTTTTACGGTCATAATTTTTAAACACTAAAATACTTTACTATGAAATTTAAAATTTCTCGATGAATACCGTCATGCGGGGCTACTTGAGCTACCCGAAGTTACTTGAACCCAAAAAAAAAAATGTTTATTTATTTGTTTATGTTTTATAAAATTATTTGGTATGAAAGTAAATAAGTTAATTATACACTTACTCAAATTAAGTAACATAAAAAATAAAAAAGGGTTAAATTTTTTTGCAAAAAGTGATCAAAAAATTTTTTATTTAAAGGAAACGGCAATAATGATAAAAATTTAGTGTAAAACTTTTGTCTGTCTAGACATAACCAAAAAAGATAAAAATTATTTGACAGCATTTCCTAAAATAAGTATCAGTTACTACAAAATGTAGCAATTAAAATTGTCTTTTAATTTTATTACTTTGATAAAAAAATTATTTTTATGTTTGAAGTTTAAAATTGGAACTACTTGAAGCTAAACGTCATTGTAGCAGCTTATGTTTGAAAATGATTAAATTTATATTTCATTAACATTAAACTCCAAATTGAAACAATATATTTAAAAGGAGTTGATATATTTGTTATTTTAACCATGTTTTTAATATTTGTTAGGTTATAAAATGTTTACCTAAATAATGTTTTTTGATTGGTTAAAGCTATTGTTATACACCTTTTTGCGTATACTTCATGCTATCATGACTGGTTCTACCAGAATGGTTCACAGATTTAAAAGAAAATTAAGATCGTGAGCTTACAAAGACCATACCGATCAAAACTTAGAGCAAGTCTGTATTAATATTGAACGTGGAGCTATGAGTCAACGGTTTGCTGAAAAAAAATTTAAATCAGCCGCTTCAGCATTAAGAGAGCGCTTCGAAGACAACGCCTTACTATCACAAAAACATGCAGGGCATCCAGCTGTCTTCCCACCTGAAGAAGATCAGTCATTTTGTGATCACTTAAATAAAGCTTCAACTTTTTGCTACCCACTGACCTCATTTTATCTTCGAATTATTGTGAAATCCTATCTAGATCGATTAGGGAGTGATGTTCAATGTTTCAATGAAAATCTCTCAGGTGTCAAATTGGTGAAAGCTTTTATTAGAAGACATCATCAGTTATCCTAGAAACATCATCAGCTATATTGCTAGAAACCTCAAGAAAGTAGGGCTTTTTACACTATGGGTTCAAGTAGCCACACAACAGGGGCTACTTTAACCCAATCTTAACCCCCCAAAAAAAGGGTGACAGAAGTCCACCCAAATATTTTTTACTCTACAATCATCATTACTAATTTATAATTCCATGAATAAACAACAACAAGTTTTTTTTACACTGACATAAATATAAAAGAGAACCACAAACATCAAATATGTATCAAATTTGGGTCTAAGTAGTATGACGGTATTATATTTAAGTAAAGTTGCACAAACGCATTGACCCGTTTTTGGCTTGGAAAAAACGTTTTCAAAACGTTTTTTAAAGGTTCAGTAAAATACGAAATTAAATGATAGAAAAAAACCTGTTATAACGTTTTTTAAATGGTTTTTGAACGTTTTACTTATACATGCGTTCTTCAAGGAACCATAAAACGTTTACAAAACGTTTGTAAAACGTTCCTGTGCCTACTGGGAAGTACCTTTTTCTGAACGTGTAATACACATAAAAATCAGTTGCATAAGTGGTATATACGTATGTTGTATACCTTGTAGTTAATATTATTGTTTTTTATTATCGGTTTGTATTAAAAGTTAAGCTACATTTTTAAAAAAATTTTTAATAATATTTTAAAAAAATTCCTTATAGTTGTTTAATTTGATTATTGTAGATTTTAGCTTTATTTTCAGAAAGTGTTAAATTTTAATTAATTTGTTAAATAAATAAGGACCACGAAATGTAATTGAGAATTTTGAGAGTCTTATTGTTTCAAACGGTATTTTAAAGTTTCCCGTTGCTCTTTTATTGAATCTATTAATATTTTTTATTAAAAAGTGTGTTGTAAAGTGTTCTGGAACCAGATTTAGTTTATACTTAAACATCGAAAGTATATTTAAAAAAATATTTATTTGAAATATATTTAGTGCGTTCATTTGTTCCAATAAGAGTTAAGCATGAGCAAATTTATTATTGTTGTATACTAGTCTTGAAGCGTGTTTTTGACGTAGGTAAAGTGGTTCTAATTTAGATTTGTGGGTACTGCCCCATGCTATATCGGCATACATCAGGTAGCTATGTATGAATAAAAAGTAGACAAGTTTTTGACTTTTTTGTAACAAAAATGATCTTGCTTTATATAGTAAACCAATGTTCTTTGATATTTTTGTGTTAATATAATTTATGTGGGGTTTCTAGGAGATATGTTTGTCAATTAGAACTCCTAAAAACGTTGTATTCAGAACTCTTTTGATGGCTATATTTTCTATATTAAGTGTTGTTAGGTTTAGGGGTATTTTTTTAATTTGTTGATTAGAGTGAAATAGTATGTACTTAGTTTTTTTCTATATTGAGTGACAGTTTATTGAAATTAAACCATATATTAATTTTATTTAATTCAGTATTTGTTTTTTCAAAAAAGTTTTTGATTGTCTTTGTTGAAAGAAAAACATTATAGTTTTAAAGATATTGGAGGCATTTGGAAGATCGTTTATATAAATAAGAAACAAAAGAAGGAGCAAGAATGAAACATTGGGAAACACCACATTTTGTTCTCAGTAAATTTAAGTTGCTTTTTTTACTTAATAACAGACAACAGTTTGTTATTATAGATAACAAACTGTTGTCTGTTATTTAGGTAGTTTTTAAACCAATTTTTAAAGCTTGATTTTTGATGCCATAGTTTTTCTTTTTTTTTTTCAGTAAAATCTCATGGTTGACGATGTCAAATCCTTTTGACAAATTAATAAAGATCTCTAATAAGAATTTTTTTTTAGAATGATTTACTTATCCTATTCGATAGGTCAAGGATTGCATTCTCCTATCACAGTATTTAAGAATCTTTTCGTCATTCATATGAATGTAAAAAAAATTGGAAAACTTTTTTTGTTCAAAAATTTGGTTATTTCAAACATTTAAAAACCTTCTTACGCCACTTCATATATATAATTATTGAATTATTATTTTAATAAAAAAAGAACTATATCTTTATAAATATTTTAATCTCACAGTTTTTTGTAAAATAGTACATGTCTTATTAAGTACAACGATCATAGTTCATTGAATTGTTTTCATAGCTTGATTTAGTTTTAGTTTAAACGGAAATTTAGTTAATTTGGTCAAGATCAAATCTGGCGTTAGACTCGTTAGTTGCTAGTTAGTTGCTCGTTAGACTCGTTAGTTGCTAGTTAGTTGCTCGTTAGACTCGTTAGTTGCTAGTTAGTTGCTCGTTAGACTCGTTAGTTGCTAGTTAGTTGGCGTTTGTTGCTTTAAACGATTACTCTGATATTCCAAATTTTTTTTTTGAATAAAAATAAATAGAGATATTGTCAACGCATTAACAATGATTTGTCAGGAACCACGTTGAGAAGCTACTCGATTTCTTCAGAAGCAAAAATGCTAATACCAATGAGGCTTTTATCAAAGTAATTGGGAGTTTTCAAAAAGTAATTGCTAAAAATTACGAGTCAATTTAAAAAAAAATCAGGAAAAAAAAAGAGTAATTTTTTGATCATTTTTTGTTTAATATGCTTGCAATTAATTGTTTGTTACGAATGAAGTTTGAAAGAGTTGATTTATCAACTACTTACTTAATAATAGCTTTGTCCTTTTTTCAGAGATGTTGTCAAAAATCTTGGAAAAGATTTTTATTTATTTTAATTCTGAATTTAAAAAGACATTGGAATATAGTCCTTTTGCAATTTTTCTTTTTGGTTGTTAACAGTCATAATTACACCATTTAATCAGCCAACTACACCAGAGAAAATATATTTCAATAAAGTTTACCTTCATGTAAATAGTAATGTGGAGTAAATCTTTGATCATTACAAAAACCATTTGAGGTCACAAGAGAGAGCACTTCAGTGCTCCAAACATATGCTCCCCCAAACAATATTTTGTAAAATATATTTTATGTGCAATTTTCTGGAAAACCTTTACAATTGCATAGGATTATTCCAGATGACATAAACTTAGAGGACAATGATGAAGATGATGTACACTATGTTCAGACTGAATAAACGCAAGTCAATCAGTTCGATTTGGCATTGTACAAAGAACACTAATTAAAACTTTGTTTTTAAATTGAAGGCGATAATATATTGTTGAATGTTACATCGGCGAATGTTATAAGGATTTTTTTGATGTTATATATATGACTACAGTCATATATAAAACATCAACTGATAAAACAAACAACTGTAGTTTAAGCATAATGTAAACTTCAAACTTAAGTATGTTCATGCATATGTTTAATTAGTATACAAATTTTTAATTACTTGTATTTTAAAAAGACACTATTTATATAATGTTTATGATTTAAAAAAATGAAAGTATTTTATAATTTTTTTTTAATTGCATATTAAACAATTGTTAAAATTTATCTAACCTTTATAACCTTTTTGTAGATTAATCGATTCTGAACTCCTCTCTTCCTCTTTTCTACTTAAAATTATTTTTTCTAATTTTTATAATGATTTTTTTGCTTAATATATATTCTATAAAAAAGTATTTAGTTTTTATAGTTTTATAAAAAGTATTAGTCATTTTAATAGGCTTTAATATACTTGTACCAAAATTCATCGAATTTCCAAGTTTTTGCTTTTATAGTATAATTGAAAAAGGATAACTCCTCTTTTATATTTCGCTTTGACTGTGTTTTTTCTTCGCAAAGAATAAAACCACACAATGTTGCAAGCTTAGCAAACCCATTTTTGCGTTTAACAGGAACTTCAGGTGAAACATGAAATTGAGCATCATTACTTGAATCAATCATATCTAAAAATGAAAACAAGTATTTATATTAGCTGAAATGTAATCTAATTTTTAACAACACTGAAAATGTAAAAAAAGTAAAATTTTTATATAAATTTAAAAACAAATGTTTTTTAACAAACATAAATTTTAGGTTTATAACTAACCACTTCTCGAATAATTTTGTTCATTTTGCAAACAAATGTTTGTATGCGTTGATCTTCGAGGATTGTCGGAGTGCTGACTTTGCAAATTTTTTCATAAGTTTGCTTTTTGCTTCTTGATATTCTTTTTCTGTAAGACACTCGTTTGTTCTCGGATCAAAGAAACATGCTAGCAAACTTTGCAGCTTTTGTTTTGTAGACATCTTTTCAACAAAGTATACCTTCATGAACTTGAGAAGACTAGCTCGTAACATGTTCTCTCTTTCCACCGTAGGAGATGGTTGAAAAAAAAAACATTTAGCTGAAGATTCATTTTCAAGAAAGTTCATTAACGTATTTTGGACGAATTTTGCTGAAGAAAGTGTTAGAAAATTTTTAGTAGAGAGAAGTTTAGTTGCTTCAAAAAATGGAGCAAGGTTATAATGTAAAATGTCTAGGAACTTCCAGTCATCTGATAACAAAGCTAGTTTCTTGAGTTTATTAATCTGTTTTTCTGTTAACCCATAGTGCCAGGATCTATGGTAATTTTATTATAAACATATTTCGCTTTTATTATCTTACTAATCATCAAAAACGTTGAGTTCCAACGTACATGAAAATCTGACGAAAAGTTTTTTAATTTCAGTCCCTGCTTCTTAATCTCACTAAAAACAAATGATTGCAAAACAGAAGATTGTTTAACATTAGCTATCGTCTTTCTTAACCTGAATAATATGCTTGATGAATAAATGAATAACTGTTCAATATTTTCATTTGTTGACGCCTGCTCCTCCTTGCTACTTTCTTCATCATCTGAGCTAATGTCTTCTTTGTATTAAGTGCATGCAATTTCTTCTTGATCGTCAGATGATTTCCATTTGATTTGATATCGCTTTCATTATATTTATTGTAATATATAAAATATATAAAATTTATTGTAATATATAAAATCTTCATCTACATCTGCTGTGCTATCTAATAAGTTATGAGATGGTTTAGTCCACAATTTGATTCCATGGTTCAAAACAAGATTTAAATTATGACAAATGCATAAAAGTCGTAAAGCAATAGATCCCATCGCCTTTTTAATATCTTCAGCGTTGTCAATTGTAATTGAAATAATTTTAGATTCAATTTCAAGTTTATTAATTTCTTTTTGTACAAATGCTGTAAGTCTATTACTTAATTGCCTTCCATAAAACCTACGAAAACAAACTATTTTTGATTTGTATTTAAATTTTTTTGTTAAGTAATGCGCTGTTA